GGGCAGTGGGTTCTGGCGGCGCAGTGGGTGAGCCCCTCGGAGAGCTGCGAGTGCCTGGGGCGCCCCCTTTCCTGCGCGGGGAGCTCTGGGCTCCCTGGGGCTCCCCCGCGCTCGGCCTGCGTGGACATCTCCGGGCCGATGGGCTGTGCTCCAGGATGCCGCTCTGTGGTGCCCCTTTTCAAGCACAGAGACTATTTCTGAGCTCCTACCCCTGCCCTGTCCTGTGTATTGTGACTTCGTTATCGTGGCTTTAAAATGAACCTTCATGGCTCTGCGGGTCAAATCCTCAAAACTGCCTCGGCTATTTCTGAGCTTTTGCTCTGTGCGAGTATTTTAAGATCAGTTTGCTAAGTTTCTGAAAGACATGCGAGAATTTTGGGGGGTTTTGGGGTGACACCCCACGTCTTGGTTAGGGTCCTGGGGATTCCCGTGTGGACATCTGTCAAACTCACTAAACCGTACCTGAAAGTAGATGCATTTTATTTACTGGAAATTACAGCTAAAAATGGACGCAGAAAGGCCCTCCAAGGAGCCAAACTCCAGGCTCTTTCTGGAAATAGCAATGGGAGCTCAGCATAGGGGACCCCCGTGCTTCCAAAGAGTGAGCTGGGGAGGCTCTTCTGGCCCACGCCCCCTGCCGGTCTTCTGGGGGGGCCCTCTGGGTGACTGCCCATCCTGGGTCGGCCTCCAGCTCTCCATTCCTGGGGTCTTAGTTTATGTTGTCGTTGTTTATTTTCTTATATTCATGGTGATGAACTTGCATGTCTTTAATTAGAGTTATTCTTAGTCAAAATAAGTTTTGTTGTTGCTAGTGACTGAATTCTTTTAAAATCTGAATGTTAATTGGTTGTCACTGTTTAGCAGTGCGTTTGATGGCTGAGTGATTCTCCCAGACATTCAAACCTGATCTCAGAGCTTCATTTCCCGCTGCTGTAAAATATGCAGCATTGTTTGAATTTTGAGTTTTTTTTTTTTTCCGGCAACACCAGTCTATTTTTCTTTTTTTTACTTTTTTTTCTGGGCCTGCTCAAACCTTCAAGAATGTCAAGGGCACTCTTAGAATGACATCATCAAAAGCTTTGTTATTTATGTTTAAGCATGCCCAGTCTGGGTCACATTAGGGCAATTTCCTTTGCAATTTATTCCTATTGTCTGAAGAAGACATTGTCTGCAGAGATCTTGCTTTTACAGAAAGACAAAAAAAAATTATTTTCTTCCGAGAACGGGAAAAGCGTCCTGATGTAAAATATTCGTAAGATCCAGAAATGCATAATTGGAAAAGCAAAATTCTCCCAAAATCCCATCTCTTAGTGATAACTCGCTCATCGATTCACTACCCACCTCTTCCCATGGTGTG